CACCCCCTCCCCCCACCCTCCCCCTACCCTCCATCTGCGATAGTGGGCGTGTCCTAACAATGATGTGTACGCAACTGCGTGTCTGCATATCTGCGCCTAACAAATGTGGTACTACGCACGACTGAAATTTTACGTTTATAATCGTAGCAACAGACCTCAGATGAGCCCAGACGCTCTGCGGCTCTTGTTATTTTCGCGGTCGGGATCGCCTTCGCGGAAATGAAACCACCGCAAAATATACAGCTTACACATAATATTCGCAAAAATGCGTGTCGACGTCGCCCCGCGCGCACGCGGCGAGTCAAATGTTGAAACGTTTGCCGACTCGCGGTCGATAACGTAAAAACTTTGAACATCTGATAGCCTCATCATCTCGTCCATTTTTCTAGTGTAAACACAGATTTATACTATCATATCTACCCTCAGTCGAGATATGTATGAAGATGTGTTAACAATGATATAAACAATTCTCGTTTTATTATAATACATGGCGCGGAATCACAGCAAAATCGACGGAATCCCAATCAAAGCAGATTTCATGCGATTCTAAACAGATGAAAATTTAAAACGTCTAGCCGTTTTATTATGCACAATTACAAGTTTTTATTCGCTAACATGGATTTTTCATACATGAAAAACCAAGTCGCTGAATTACAGTAGAAGTTCATTGGAATCCGCATCTACGCAAGAAATACTAATCAACCATGTTAAATGCGTTTAGACTACAATAAAGCCTGCTATGCATATAACCCACGTTAACCGACAAACGTATTTATAACAGAGCATGCTATTGTCGTGTAATACAAAAACATAATCAGAATAATCAGTTTCGGATTAATTTCATCGTGCAGACATTGCGCAACATGCGTTGTAAATACAATTACTAAACAATTATAGCAGATTAAATGTTAAACAGCATGCGGACCTGGCCATATCATAGTAGAGCTTAGCTCTAGTACTAGAGCTAAGTAGAGCTGTGCTCCGTTGATAGCATATTGAATCAAAAACATAAGAAAATGATCGCATGCACTCAAATTAGATACGGGAACGGAGACTTACATTAATAATAAATATATTTTTGCACTTTTTACAGTCACTCAGGCAAAATTTATTGTTCATACTCATTCTATTACTTACTTACATGCGTTAACAGCCCCTTGTTTATTTCAGCTCAGTTTTTGTGATGCCGCAGGTTTTATAATAAAAAACACTTCCAAATCCATTAAATATCACAGCACATTTCCAGCTATCTTTACTAGCTAGGTCTTCTCTCCTGTATGAGTACGCATGTGTTTTTTTAGATCACTGGAACGAGCACTCCTGTATCCGCACATGTCACACGCAAACGGCCTTTCTCCTGTGTGAGTGCGCATGTGATCACTGAGAGAACGGGCCTGAGCACTCCTGTATCCGCACGTGTCGCACGCAAACGGCTTCTTGCCTGTGTGAGTGCGCATGTGATCACGGAGATGACCGGCCTGAGCACTCCTGTATCCACACGTGTCGCACGCAAACGGCTTTTCTCCTGTGTGATTGCGCATGTGTGTCTGGAGATCACTGGCCTTAGCACTCCTGTATCCACACGTGTCGCACGCAAACGGCTTCTCGCCTGTGTGAGCGCGCATGTGTGTCTGGAGATCACTGGCCTTAGCACTCCTGTATCCACACGTGTCGCACGCAAACGGCTTCTCGCCTGAAGCACTCCTGTATCCACACGTGTCGCACGCAAACGGCTTCTCGCCTGTGTGAGTGCGCATGTGATCACGGAGAGAACGGGCGTGAGCACTCCTGTATTCGCACGTGTCGCACGCAAACGGCTTCTCTCCTGTGTGAGTGCGCATGTGATCACGGAGAGAATGGGCATGAGCACTCCTGAATCCGCACGTGTCGCACGCAAACGGCTTCTCCCCTGTGTGAGTGCGCATGTGTGTCTGGAGATTACAGGCATGAGCACTCCTGTATCCGCACGTGTCACACACAAACGGCTTCTCTCCTGTGTGGGTGCGCATGTGTCTCTGGAGATGATGGGCGTGAGCACTCCTGTATCCGCACGTGTCGCACGCAAACGGCTTCTCTCCTGTGTGAGTGCGCATGTGTCTCAGGAGAGAACTGGAACGAGCACTCCTGTACCCGCACGTGTCGCACGCAAACGGCTTCTCTCCTGTGTGAGTGCGCATGTGTCTCTGGAGATGCCTGGCGTGAGCACTCCTGTATCCGCACGTGTCGCACGCAAACGGCTTCTCTCCTGTGTGAGTGCGCATGTGATCACGGAGAGAACTTGCCTGAGTACACCTATACCCATCTGTTTCCAAGCGTTTCTCACCTGTATCCACATGTTTCGCATCTGCGTGTGTGCGCATGTGTTTTTTGAGTTCACCGTAGCCGGTGCATCTGTATTCACATGTATCACACTTGCAAATCTTCCTTTCTGTGTGAGTGTGCTTGTACTCCTGCTGCTCTGAGGCTTTGCTTCTGTCGATGCCGAGCTCAGCCGCGTAGCTGTCACCGTAATAAACCAACAGTTCTGCGCCCGTCCTGATATCTGTACACGTCCTGAAACGCATATAATTTTATAATTTGTTGTTGTACACATTTATATGTAAATAATTATAAGATGATAAGTATTTGTACTTTAGCTGTTTTTCAATAGCACGACTGTTTATACGAATAACAAAATTAAAAAAGATTGGTTAGAAGAATTTATCTGATTTTAATAAGAAATCATATTTTTGTAGGTATAGCCATTCATGAATGACAGGACAAAATCCAATGACTATATTATCATTCGCATTAGGGTTGTCATTGGTATCAAATTATTTTGATTCGATTATTTATTATTTTTTTTTTGATATTTTGATCCTTTAGCTGTTTATCAATAGAATGAATATTTATAGGAATAAAAAAATGTAGAAGAGATTACGTAAGATTACATTGTAAAAGATTAGAAGAATTTATCTGTTTAAAAAAATACATCTGGCAAGAAATGTGCAACCAATGAGTTAAAAAATCAATAAAAATTCATATATTAAAAGGAATTCCAGATTTTGGCGGTAAAATCGATATTTTAATTGATCACCCAAGAGGCCCTAGCCCAGTCTTCTGATTTTAATAAGAAATCATATTTTGGTAGGTATAGCCATTCATGAATGACAGGACAAAACCCAATGACAGAAATTATCGAGACTATTATCATCAGCATAAACTATCTATCTATAGCTACAACCTATAGTCAAAAATGCTACCGATGCTTCGCTGGCTACATTTTAGCAAAAAAAAAAAAAAAAAANAGCACACCTGTATCCACACGTGTCGCACGCAAACGGCTTCTCTCCTGTGTGAGTGCGCATGTGATTCTTGTAATAGATACCAGTCCACCGTATGGCGAGCGTGTATATTATGTATTATTGATAGACGGTGTGACCTGATTGAAAACATGGAAAATGACTGCAGTACACACATACTAACAAGATACTAATATATAATAAATACGTAAGGCACGTACGCTCCATAAAAGAACTTCGTAATAGATGGCAATTATACTTGTCGCTACTAGCTTGTGGATTAACTTGCGCATTATATAATAGTGTCGAGATGGGTTTACACTATCAATTTTTTCCTAAAAGGGTGACGAGCTGATAAACTTTTCTATACTAATCGACCGACAGCCGGCAGTGTAAACGTAAAATATGAGCGCTCAACAAGGAGATATAACGACTAGTAGAGAGATTAGAACATATTATGTTCTATTTTCTCAGTTTTTGGTCAGTGAGTTGATCAAGTTTTTCCACTCAGTCACTCCGATAATAGCAATCAGGAGGTGTGTCCCTCCACTCCACCCAGGGGGAGAGCGCGTTTTTGCTATCGGCCCCACACTGGCGCGAATTACTGTATACGCCATATTTTTCGCGTACAGATATTTTCGCGAATTCAGACTTGACGGACAATTTTGCGGTCGGTGAATTATGAATTATTTGCGTGTTATTTTCGCGGTCGGGATCGCCTTCGCGGAAATTAAACCACCGCAAAATATACAGCTTACACATAATATGCGCAAAAATGCGTATCCACGTCGCCCCGCGCGCACGCTGTGAGTCAAATAGTGAAACGTTTGCCGACTCGCGATCGATAACGTAACAACTGAACATCTGATAGACTCATCATCTCGTCGATTTTTCCAGTGTAAACCCAGATTTATACTACATGTATGATGTATCATATCTATTATCTACCCTCAGTCGAGATATGTATAAAGATATGTTAACAATGATATAAACAATTCTCGTTTTATTATAATAAATGGCGGAATCACAGCAAAATCGACGGAATCCCAATCACAGCAGATTTCATGCGATTCTAAACAGCCCTAAACAGATGAAAATTTAAAACGTCTAGCCGTTTTATTATGCACAATAACAACTTATTCGATAACATAGATTTTTCCTACATGAAAAACCAAGTCGCTGAATTACAGTAGAAGTTTATTGGAATCCGCATCTACGCAAGAAATACTAATCAACCGGGTTAGATGCGTTTAGACTACATTAAAGCCTGCTATGCATATAACCCACGTTAACCGACAGACGTATTTATAACAGAGCATGCTATTGTCATGTAATACAAAAACATAATCAGAATCATCAGAATAATCAGTTTCTAATTAATTTCATCGTGGAGACATTGCGCAACATGCGTTGTAAATACAATTACTAAACAATTATAGCGGATTAAATGTTAAACATCATGCGGGCCTGGCTATATCATTAAGAGGTGAGCTGTGCTCCGTTGATAGCATATTGAGTCAAAAACATAAGAAAATAATTTCTCGGTAAATTCGCATGCACTCAAATTAGATACGGGAACGGAGACTTTTTACAGTCAATCCGGCAAAATTTATTGTTCATACTCATTCTATTACTTACATGCGTCATCCGCCCCTTGTTTATTTCAGTTCAGTTTTTGTGATGCCGCAGGTTCTATAATAAAAACCACGCAACCAAATGCATTAAATATCACAGCACATTTCCAGCTATCTTTACTAGCTAGGTCTTCTCTCCTGTGTGAGTGCGCATGTGTTTTTTTAGATCACTGGAACGAGCACTCCTGTATCCACACGTGTCGCACGCAAACGGCTTCTCTCCTGTGTGAGTGCGCATGTGTGTCTGGAGATCACTGGCATGAGCACTCCTGTATCCGCACGTGTCGCACGCAAACGGCTTCTCTCCTGTGTGAGTGCGCATGTGATCACGGAGATCACTGGCCTGAGCACACCTGTATCCGCACGTGTCGCACGCAAACGGCTTCTCTCCTGTGTGAGTGCGCATCTGATCACGGACAGAGCTTGCCCGAGTACACCTATACCCATCTGTTTCCAAGCGTTTCTCACCTGTATCCACACGTTTCGCATCTGCGTGTGCGCGCATGTGTTTTCTGAGTTCACCGTAGGCGGTGCATCTGTATTCACATGTATCGCATTTGCAAATCTTCCTTTCTGCGTGAGTGTTGTGCAGCTTGTACTGCTGCTGCTGCTGCTGCTGCTGCTCTGCTGCTGCGGAGGCTTTGCTTCTGTCGATGCCGAGCTCCGCCGCGTAGCTGTCACCGTAATAAACCAACAGTTCTGCGCCCGTCCTGATGTCTGTACACGTCCTGAAACACGCACATATAAGTTTATAATTTGTTGTTGTACACACATTTATATGTAAATAATTATAAGATGATAAGTATTTGTACTTCAGCTGTTTATCAATAGCATGACTGTTTATAGGAATAAAAAAATTAGAAAAGATTGGTTAGAAGAATTTATCTGATTTTAATAAGAAATAATATGTTGGTAGGTATATATATAGCCATTCACGAATGACAGGACAAAACCCAATGACAGAAATTATCGATACTATTATCATCAGCATAAACCATCTATCTATAGCTACAACCTATAGTCAAAAATGCTACCGATGCTTCGCTGGCTACATTTTAGAAAAAAATAAATAAAAAATCGGATTGCTATTTTTCGATTTATTTCGATTTCGATATCGGATGCAAATCCATCGCGATTTATCGATGAGGTGGGCATCGATGACAGTCCTAATTCGCATAAACTATCTATATATATATATATAGCTATGGCTACGGCACCTCACCTGTAGTACATGCCGCCGTGAAACTGAAACGCGACCATGTTCTGTTCTTCATAGTTTCGCGCGCAATTCACGAATCGCATCCAGTTCGCCCGCGCGCCGTCCTCGGCGTCGACGTAGTGCGACACTTTCCCGCGACGGCGCATCTGCAATTCGCACACGATCGAGCATTATAATGTAACGTAAATAATTTATAAATTATTATACATATAGTTAAATATAATAGATTTCACACGGCCCAATTGTACCAACATATCGGACATTTTACGTCGTGGTATATGCAGCAAAGAAACGGATTGTTGTATACATACGTATTTACACTAATGAAAAGCTACCAAACACAAGCTATAGCACTGCAGCTAGACTATAAAAACTGTCAGATTTGGTTGCACTAGATTGTGTGACATGGTTAGTGTAATGGGAAACATTGGAGAGGTAGCATGACCGCCTGCCAAACTATTACATGTTTGAGGAAATGTCAAAGCTTTCCGACTGTTCCTAATTGAAACAACAGTGAGTTGTCGAAAAACAACGGATTTAAGAATTGATCCTCGACTCCGCATAAATATCACGTGACACAATTTGTGAATTCATTTTCTAATGATTGCTCACTGTCAACTAGACACTGCCAGTTGCCACTGCCGTGTATGTTTATATTTATTTCTATAAAAAAAAAATGTTTATTAAAAGTTTTAAAACAATATATTAACTCATATAAGATCCGATAGGTGGCGCGGTTTATTTTCATGTAGATCCCCGCGCTCGGTTCAAAAATTTCCCACTATTTCAACGTTTTTGAACGTGCATGGACTGTGAAAAAAATGAAACTTTGGAAAAAATAACCTATGCAACGTGTCATGATCTGTAGAATGTTCCCTGACCAAGTTTGGAGGGGATCCCATGAACGGTGCGGAAACGTATAGCCGGACACACAGAAAATCTCCAATTTATAGTAAAGATATGCTCATAGGGTCTATCTCCCCCAGGGTACTGCCGGAACGTACCCTGGGTACGGTCCGTACCCTGGTCACTATATTTGATATGGTTAGGGTTAGGATTAGGGTTCAGGTTAGGGAGTAGGCGTAGGCGACTCCCTAGACTCGTTAGTCGAGTGGGCGAGGTACGGTCCGGCATATTAAATAGTACCAGGGTACGTTCCGGTATATTAGATAGTACCAGGGTACGTTCCGGTATACCCCACCGTACCCAGGGTACGTTCCGGCAGTACCCCGGGGGACATAGACCTCTCAGCGTAAGATATAGCATGTCACACTTAATGATGCGTGCTTACCGCCCAGCAGTAACCGGAGACGTGCGCTTCGTTCTGTGTGATCTTCCTGATCTCTCCCTTATAAGGGCCAAACATGGAGCCCTTGCGGACGACCATGTCCGTCCATATACCCTGACCGGCACCGGTGATCTTGGATCGCCACAAAGACAGTCCGTCTGGCAGCGTCTGCTCCGCGCGCCTAGGATTGTACACGGTGTCGTCAACCTGTAGATATATATCAGTAGCTATAGTTCATTAGACGTTAGTGAGATATATGTGAC